CTTACTCTCGAGAATCTTCTACAACTTTGGAGAATAGGCGGGAGTTTTGCAATACATATTTAACAGTATAAGCTATGCATGTTTCTAAATATAAATTTTATCTGAACAAACGTCGACATTAAAATAAATATATCATAACAAATTCATTACAATATTTCTATAGTCTCGTATACACAGTGGTATATGACGATGCTTCACTTTTGTACATCCTGTATTTCCTCTTTTAGAAGACGTTCATAATGATTCATTTTTACGGTTTCCTTTTGTGGGTTTTGTACACTATTACATATGATTTTTTTTTCCGAAAATTATTGTGGCAATAGGATATCAGTCATTGTCATAGTAATCTATACGTTGACTTAAGTCGAATTATCAATTAGTTACTTTATATATTATTAACTAGTTTCTATCATGCATTTTGGGAGAAAACTAATGTTCAAAGATTTCAGCAAACAATAAACAATTAAGAAATTTTTAATTTTTTGTTCCTGCCAACTTGTTGTGTAATTATTTTCTTTTGTTTATTTCTTTGTTTCTACCATATTCCTTGTTGTATAGATTATTATTTGTTTGTTTATTTCTTTGTTTCTGTAATATTCTTTATTGTGTATATTATTTTTGTTTCTCTGTTTCTGTTATTTTCCTTGTGTTTGTTTTTGTTTGTTAGATGAGGTTTTCGCTTTCTAAAACTTTAAATAACCCTTTGATTTATTTATGTTAGTTTGTATATTACAATCTACTAGACAGAAATGAATATCGTATCCATCTATTTTACTGCTATTGTGCGCATGCACTTGAACTAGGTTTTCTTTATCTATAACTTGTATATGTATGTATATATGTATGTGTGTATATGTATGTATGTATCTCTCTCAAGCTATTAATGACATTAATTGTTAATAGGCGATTAAATCAGCACTGTAAAACAATAATGAATTAATTATCGCACCACCGTTATTAGTCCAGGTTGTCAACTTATTGTCATAACGGATAATGTCTGTGGTAATAGCATACAAATGCGTTGAGGATATCCTATCTATTAGATAATATCCAAACGCCGATGTCAATCTAGTCAGCCGTAATGAAAATCATAAAAAATCAATCAAATAAATTTAGTTCTTTTCTACATCTTATAGTTCTGTTTAGTTCTATCCAATATCGTACAGTTCTATTTAGGTCTATTCAATATTTTATAGTTCTGTTTAATATATTTTTGTAAGGGTGGAGGTTGGGAGTTTAATTAGTAGAAATATTAGAGTGGCTTCATTTTAATTCATTCCTACTTTAAGAAATTTAAGGGTAACTGACTTCCCACAACTGGCTATAGACAGTGAAAGACAGTAGAAGCTGAGACGTTGTGGGTGTAAGCACTCAGCTTTGTACTCAGAACTATAAGATGTAGAAAAGAACTAAATAGAACTATAAGATGTAGAAAAGAACTAAATAGAACTATAAGATGTAGAATAGAACTATGAGATGTTGAATAGAACTATGAGATGTAGAATAGAACTATGAGATGTAGAATAGAACTATAAGATATGAAATAGAACTATTCACCCTACCTGAAGAGTTATTCAAGTATAACTCGAGAACGCCGAGACAAGCCCAGCACCTTGAAGTTAGTATTTCCGTCCCGGTTATACTGAATAAAATTACTTGAAAAATTGCTATTAGCTACTTATAAGCTAAAGTAACTAACTCCCTCTTTATTTTATTTATTTTTACAAGATATTTTCCTTAATCGACAGTTTAGTTTCTAAAATATTTTGGTATTTATTAATAATTAAAGTAAGGTATTTCTTCAATTGCCTGTCTTTATAGCGTTATCTTTCAGTTTATTTTTTAATAATAAAACACTATCCATAAAAAATATATATAGTTATTACAGACTATTAAGAACCGTTTTAGTCAAGATATAATTATACCTCTTAACATGATACACGGAATAACACTATTAGGTGTGGGTAGAACAAGAATGGGAAAATTAAATTATTTTCTTTTATCAAAAATTGTTAACCGCACTGTACCTTCTATAAAAGTAATGTCCAAATCTAAATAATTAGCATGGACCTCGTTATTATTATTAG